CAAGCTCTCGTTGCGTGAGGTACGTCGGTAGCATCAAGTTGATACGTTTCAAGCGATTCGTAGGTGCCAGTCACCAACTTCACCGACGATGGGGGCGACGTGCATGGTCGCATTGACGGCTCGGTCGCGTCTTTTGTGGGTCTTAGCCCCAACTGGCGTAGCTGGACAAACTATCTTCGGCGCTTATTCGGTCTGGATCCGTGCCTCGGGGGCATGTACATTGCCAAATACGTCCGGCGGGGGGCCGAGATCGGGCACGCCCGCGGCGAGCTCGGTCGCGTCGGGCCTTTCCCCATCCACATCGATGCGAAGGAAGGCACATGGCGGTTTCTCGCCCCCGAGAGACGGCTCTTGTGCACGGAAATGGCCTTTCACATCCTTGTCACCGCACTCAAGTACTTTGTCGCGCTTCTCAACTTGTCGTTCAACGTCAACTTTGTGGCCAACATCGTCGCGTCGTCGAGTTGGTTTGGCTACTCCAAGGACGTTCTGAATGGGATGAAGGCCGACTGCACGGCCGCGTTAGCGTCCGTCCTCTCGTTCGTCTCGGTCGTCATTGGCTGGTTCGACTACGTCTGTTCTTACGTTCTCAACTACATCATGGTCGAGCTCGATTTCTTTGACCAGTTTACCGGCTGCGGGCAAGGCTACGGCCTCTTGCTCATTTGGGTGGTCATGTGGCTCACGACGCTCTTCCTCTATATTGTGATCCAAGAAGATGTGCTCGTCAAGGTCCAAAAGCTCAGCTACTATCTCCCGTTCAGCTTTGGCCGGGCGGCCGAAGATCGACTCGAACAAGTCGGGGCGCTCCTCGTGATCTTCGTCTTGATTGCCATCAAAGTCCTCGTGCTGTTCATTGCAAAGCAGTGGGACGCGTACTCGGAGCAAGTGTCGTCGGGGACACTTTTCAGCCTCACGCGCTACAGCGCAAGTGGCGTCGAGTGCCCGGCCATGGGACTCAATTATGGCTTCCAGGTCGTCTCGGCGGTGCTTCTGGGGGGCTTTTTCTACTGTCTTTTGCCCCTCCTTGTGCTCGACATTTACAGCTGGAAGCCGCCCACCGACTTGGCCAAGGACGCGGACCGGCTCGCGTTGTCGCACCGCGGCGGTCCCAACGAGATTCGAGCAGCTGTCGCCAACAACGTCAACTTGGTCGAACCGCCAACGTGGTGGCCATGGCGGTGTTTCTGCCACCCGTACCAATTGTTTTGGTTTGCGGGGCGGGGGAAGCGGTTTTTTCGGGACTATCGGCGCCATGACTTTTACAAGCTCACGCTCAAGTACGGCTTTGTCGGCATTTGGTTTGTCATTTTGTACATTTACTCGGTGCTCATGCTCCAAGCCGTGTTGCGCGCGCTCGGTGTCATCTTTGGGTGGCGCGGCCGAGCCGACTACATGTACGACAAGCCGCATTTACGGCCGTACCGGTCGTCGCGCCTCGACTGGATCTGCTGCCGCTTCAATTTGTACTGGCGCCACTCGTGGGCGGTTGAAAAGTTTTTCAAGCCCATGCGCAATTGCCTCTGGGTGACGTTCGGCGCGTGGACGAAGGGCGAGTGGACCACGTACGACATTGAGGAGCGGGCCAAGAACTGTTTCCCGATGGAGCCCAACAACGAAATCAAGCAGCTTCAAATGATGTCGCTCCACGGCAAGGTACACCACTGGACCGCGGTACCCTTGTATCGACTTCTCTATGTACGTAGATTAACAGTTTGATTTGGCTGCCTTTTCCCATCGTGGGCTTTCTGGCCTACGTCTCGGACATTCTCAACCGAGGACCGATCCTGAGCTACTTTTTCAACCGCATGGTAGCCTCGCAATCACCAGGAATGGTGCTTATTTTGTACATGAAATGTTAGTTCCTCCAAGTCGACAAGCCTGCCAACGAACGGGACCCGAACGTGCGCTGGAAGTTCCATCGGTGGATGCCGGAATGCGTCTCGCGGAAGGATCACGCCGACGGCAAGAAGATGACGACGGTGTGCCTGCCTGACACGTGCTTTTACACGACGTTGGCCAAGTTTGGAAGCTCAGTCCTGGAGCTGGCGATGGTCATTGCGCTCATCTTCGAGCCGCTCCAGAACCCCAATGCCGCAGGCGACAGCGCCTCGATGCAGTGGAAGGCGATTGTGGCTCTCGTCGCTGCGACGATCGCGCCACTTATCGAATTCTACCAGCAAGGTCTCAAGTCCTACAAAAAGTACCTCGAGCTGCGCGACACGGCGCAGAGTGCTCTTACGTCGGGCGGGAAATCGCTGGCGCTGCAAGCCGAAGCCGAAGCCCAAACCCTCTTGGGCACCAAGGACGACGACGGCAACAGCAGTGACGAGGCGGAGAGCGACGACGAGAACGACGACGACGACGACGGCAGCAAGGATCTCATCGTGCTCGCCGCGTCGCCCGAAACAAGCTTTGTCATCCAGAGCGACCAGCTCGACGAAGGCGAAGGCGTCATCACCGTCAACTGGCGCGTGAATGCGTCCCGGCGCTTCCACGCGTTTGATGCGATCGGTATGTTCCCAAAACGAACGCTTGCCGACGCGCTCACAAAGCGTACGATGGACGAGTGTCTCTGCTACCGGCGCGTCTCGGATCTCCGCGTCGAGCCGTTTGGGTGGCGCCCCACCACGAACGCCCATGGCAACGAACTCTCGAGTGGCGTGCACGCGACCAAGATGCTCCAGCACGCGCTCTTTCTCGATAGAGTCACGCAACTCGAGATAAGCAAGCTCTCGAGCAATTCGATGCGCCTGCGCAAGGCGTCACGCGTACCCGCGCCCGACTCGGCGGATGCAATGGACGCCGAGTTGGACGCAGCGCCGGAAGCCGTCAACCTCCACGGCGCCACGTCTGTGCTAGAAGCCACGCTAGACTCGGAAAGAATTGCACCGTATGGCAAGCAAATGTCGGAAATCTTCCTCGACGAGATGCGCGAGGTGGGTGTATCGTCCGTTAGAAACATCAAAGTATCAAGTGTGGCATGTAGAATCGAGCCGCGTTCCGTGCACAGCTCGTCAGTGACGCCTACGGTAGCAAGGCTGGTAGCTCCAAGAACGCGCGCGACACGCGGGTAGGCACACAAAGTGGTCGTGACCAAAAATGACGTGGCATGCCGTATGCGTAGCGCGTGAGCGGCAAGGTCAAGTTTCGGCCGGCCAACAGCAACGAGCACGAAGACCACCCACAGCACGAAGATTATGTCTTTGGCAACAGTGCCGGCATCTTCCCGTGCAAGTACGGCCTTGAACGCTACGAGTTCTTCTACCTCAAGTACACGGGGCACCACACTTCGCACACAACGACGACGCCCTTGTACGAAGTGGTGGTCGACTCGAGCTGTGAGAACAACGACGTTAAGAGCAGCAGCAACGATCCAATCGCCGAGACGCAGCGCGGCGACTACGAGCCGCTGGCCAAGTT